GGTCACACCTGTACTTTCAACCTTATTAATTTAAATATTAATGTAGATAATTTATTTCTATCCTTCAATATGAATTACATACTATGAATAAAAACAGTTAGTACAATTAACGCCCTATATTTTTACCTAATTACAACAGTGGAAGGTGTTATGTTTAATTTTATTAAATTAATCCAAATGAATCCGGCTGAGGCGAGGGTCAAGCGGGTGTGCTCGTATTAAACATGTTTTGCAATAAAATGCGATGGGTGGCTCGTAAACCTCACCTCAATACGACCAACGAATACCTACATATGTTTATATTTTGTTCAAACGCGATTCTTGAAGAGATGTTCAAAAATATTGTGTCAATTTTATTAAATAAGTACTACTTGGTGGTAGTGTATGCGACGGCTGTTCTAAGGTCTCGGGTTCGATTCCCGGTTGGACCAAACGTTTTTATGGCCTGCAAAGATTTATTACGAAAAGATTTTCATCAAGCATAGTTAGGAACACTCCCGACTAATAAAACTTTTAAACAAAAAAACAAAATCAAAATCGGTTCAACAGTTCCTGAGCTACGATACCACAGACAGACACACAGATACGTCAAACTTACCGTGTCCGCAGTTTAAATGTTGTTAAACTAATAATGATCTTCTAGCGTTTATCACTCCACCATTATCTGCCATTTGTAGTCGGACCAATCGTGTGGTCAGAGCCGCCAAATCTTAGTAAATAGAAAAAGAAGGAAGAAAGAAAAAGATTTATTTGGCAAGAAAAGAAAAAAATTGTGAAATAAACTAGAATGCAAGTCTGTACTGCATACTGGAGTATTCCAGTTGCCAAACAAATTTACTAGTAATCCGTGACAAGCGTTTCTAGCATTAGAAACCCTTTTAAAAAAAAAATTGAACCGACTTCAAACAACACCGACAAAGAGCACTAAAAATTAAAAAATAATTACAAATCTAAGTAAAACACTATAATAAGTACCCTCAATGTAACAGGTAACATTATAATACCAATAGTCCCTTCTAGTCTGTTTGAAGTCGGTGCCAAGCTCCATGCACAATAAGTAATACTGGTCTATGTCAGCTTTATATTAGCACAATGAAAAATTAAGAATTCAAAATAATTCTAATGAAACATCGAAGATTTTGTTGGATAAAGAGGCCGCCGGAGGTAACAGGTACAATTTGTGATCCCAAGTTCCCTGTTAAATTAAAAGGATACATATATAACGATCATCAGACCTGCCGTCCTAAATGGATCTAATCGGATGTGACACGCTTGTAGCTGAAATGCAAAGTTTATTAAGATGAATGTGTGGTGTGCGTAGGATGGACAAAGCAAGGAAACATTAGAGGATGCCTGAAAGTGGCACCAGTAGATGAAAAGTTGAGAAGCAAAAGGTTATTCTGGTATGGACATGTAATGCGCAAAGATGAGTGAAATGTAGCGAGGACAGTTTTATGTACGAATATTGACGGATATAAGAGTAGTGGACGACCAAAGAAAAGAAGGATGAACTGCATTAAAGAGGATATGACGACTCAGCAATCAATATAATTAACCACAGACCAATAGCCCCATTTTTTTATATATTTTTTAAATGGCTGAAATTCAGTTGTGACTACTTTTTAATCTTTGTTACCTCAGAACTCAGTCATGAAATGATTCAGAAAAATAATGTTTTTTTTTTTGGAAGGGTGTTCTTCCCGTTTGGTTCTATTTAATTTTGAAAAACATATTACTTCTAAGGGTGGGAAATTTACAAATCAATATAATGTAGCCGCATTGAAGTCGGTTATAATTTTTAAAAGTTAATTAAATGGACTGTTAATGTTCGGCAGATTTTCTTACGGATTTAATAAAATGGAAAGAGTTTAATTAGCATATCAATGCTGATAATTGGCGAGAAACGAGTGAAAGAACCACACAATGCGTTTCAGTCGACAGACACAAAACATTTTGAAAACTATAATTGTAATAGCGTAGTGATGTCGGCTTGAGCCCTTTTTAACAAAATTAAAACTTCATATTACAGGACATTGTATGCCTAGCCATTGAAGAGACCGCCATAATAAATATATGAACATTGTACTAAGTGAAAATACGTATTTACAAAATTACAGTTACTCCTAATTACTTTACATTAAGTTGCCCATAAATATTTTACTGCCATTAAAGTATGATAATAGGTGGCCCGGGACATTTTATACTTGTGATGACGCGAATGAAAACTAAAGAAATTAAGCTTTTGAATGTCTCGCTAAGTTGTAAAATGGCGATTGTACAGTTAGAGAGTATAAACAGGACTTAAGAGCAGACCCGAGCCGAAACATAAAATAAATATTTTCTGAGCATTGTTCGAGGACATGGTTAATACTAATACTATACTATTATAATGATTTGACTACACTTGAACAAAGTAACAACGTAACATAAATTTTCATATGCATTTCTCTGCATCTCTGATTCTTACTGCTACTAATTTGTTACTGATATGAAATAAGAAAAAACACTCCTTAGATTAATCATTATTTTTCCTTTTTACTCTTTCTTAAATGCTAATATTTAGAACACCTCACTGCATCAAAAAGAAACCTTGATATCTTCGAAAATAAAAAATATTATTAAGTAGTCGTCATGATCTCTTGTGAAAAAAGTTACCATAAAATTTATATAGAAATAATATTTATAATGTTTTTATAAACCACGTCATTCTGAAAGTTAAAATTACATTTGCTGCGAATTGCGGTCGGATCTACACGACTGATAAACATACTCATTTATCTAAAGGAGCCTAAATATTAATACGGTAATTACAGCCAAGACAGTCGATAACCACGAGTCGACAGCGACCAGTATGTTTACTACAAGACATTGTTTCTGGACAGAAGATAGCGCCTGCATGAATGCGCGACAAATGCACGGGCACGCCTGCATCACATTACTATGCAAATTATTGCAAATGCGCCAGCCCATTGAAATTTAACGTCTCAATTCTTGCCGAGCCGAGCACTTTACATACCTTCGTGCGGCGAGATAACTCCTCGAAATGTTTTATTGATGCAGTTTTGCATTTAATTCCGTAAGTCCGTTAAAGATGACCTGCCTCTACATATAAGTATAGTAGTTTATTTTATAAACTGAACCCGCGTGTACTGAGAAATAGTAACAGAATTGATTACTTATAATTATTTTGAATCCATTTTCTTTCCTTCATGTTGAACTGGCTAAGACGTACATGGATGTAAGATTATTTCAGTGCCTTGCCATAGTCAGTATTCTGTTGATGGTCGTGTTGATTTCATGCATTTTGTTTCTTGAGTTTTCAGCCAAGTGATGGTCTCGGAATATTTATCTTGACCTTGAATTTGGGATTGTGTGTGGTCAGATTCCAGAAACCCTCGAAAACATTTTAGAAAATTGCAAGGTTTTTGCACAATGTTATCATTATCCATTGAAAAATAAAAGATGGTTAATTTGTAATAGGAGATTGTTTTTCACATCTAATTCAAAAGGATATTTCTTATATTTGGTGATATGCGATAGTTACGGTTTTAAAAACAATGCGTTTTAATCACTTACACTTTAACTGTGACGTTAATATACCTAACCATTTAGTTCATCACATCAACAGCCTTTAATGGTCCACTGCTGGATTTAGGCCTCTCCTTAGAAAGGAGGTTTTGGCCTACTTTACCACGCTGGCCAGACGGGTTGGTATAGGGTTTGTGTCAAGTTTGCCTTCTCTTTTCAGTGCTGTTGTTCTGCGTAGTTTGCTCCCTTAGTTGGCCCTTTCTAAAAAACCCTCGGCTCTTACGACACCCACGGGATAAATAGGGGTGGTGACACTCTGTATTCTAAATCCGTCACCACACGAATAAGTGTTGGACGAGGATAACCATTTAGTTGGTCAGTTCAAATTAAACTGATTTTATATCAAGAGGCATGTAGTAGCAGCTTTGACGTTAAAATGTGTTTAGAGCATTGCTACCACAGCGTAAGTTTTCGTATTAACTATTACTCAAACTTCTGCATCTAGATTATTGGTGTTATTAATTTGTTCTTCTGTCGTTACTACTTAATGTACGGATAACTTTGAACTAAAATTAGATTGAACTCAAGCAGACGCGATGCATTCTCGAGTTAAGAAGGCATCATCACCTTAAACAGAGGACAGCATAACTGTTTTGCATAAAATTTTAATGCTGAACTAGGTTCAATTTCCAAAATTAGTCTAAGTTACCACAGGTGGTCGTTCCACCGCTAATAGCTGAAAGTACATAAATTGACTTAGGTATTGTACAAACTAGAACAGAAATATAAACGTGACGGGTATCGTGCAAAACGAAAGAACTTAACGGTGGCGTGTCTTTCAGTGATCAGTTTTAGTTTACGTGCGGATCAGCGGGATAGCAAAAACCTATTAAAATCTGTAAAATTGAAAATATTTTTCTCTCAACGACTTACATATCCAACTCTGCTATCAGGTTCTCCAACAATAAAAAGAGGTCCATAATCTACTTTGTTCATACTGCTCCCAACTACTACAGAAACTCTTCGAGTGCTAAAGCTATCGATGCAAGCTGAAAAGAAATTCAAAATTAATGATATAAATAATGAATTGGTCTCTAAACCTAAAAAATCGTTGATAAAATAAAGTCAACACCAATTTTTATATTTAAATACTTGACGGCCGGATGGTTAACGGACTACTACACCAGAGGTCGTAGGTTCGGTTCCCTTAGTTTAGAATTAGATAGCGTTGTGAATGTAGTATAATATTATTATTAAAAGCTACTGTTTGACTTACCTATACAAAAGATGTAATTTTTTAACTGGAACTAATCTAGAAGTTACAGTACAGAAGAAACGTACAAACGTACCTGGTATAAATAAATACTGTCCAAGTGAACAGTTTATGAACCTTTTCATCACTTGAAGTTTATGATGTAAAAAGCGAATGAATTTAGGTACTCAGAAATTTAAAAACATTTTTTGTTCCACAGGTTTGGTTCCAAAACCGTCGAGCGAAGTGGCGGAAGAAGGAGCATACGAAGAAAGGACCTGGTCGGCCGGCTCACAACGCTCATCCACAATCCTGTTCAGGAGAGCCCATCCCTCTACACGAACTGAGGGCCAGGGAGAGGTGAGATTTGTGCATAACGTAGTTACCCAACTTGGAATCTACAAGTAACAGATAACAGTTGTAGAATCCAGTTGAATAGAAGTTTTAAAATACCTGTTTAAATTGATATCCATAAAATGAAATGTTATAAGTTAAAAGTTATAAGTTAAAAAAGTTAGTTTTGAAAAATATTTTCAATTAAGTACAAAAGGTATGTAATATTTTTCTTGTTCAGGATTTTGTTTTATTGTTGTTTTTATATATTGTCCGATGTCAGAACATTATGGTTTCTTTCTCTATTTTACTCTATCACACCTCCTTTCTCTTTTCTAACAAAATGCTCCTTAATGCATTCTGTACACATGTTGTTTTATTTTAATAAATCTGTTATTACCTACAATATCTCTTTACTCTTTTTATCGCTATAGGATACAATGATCAAGGCACTGTAGCTTCGATAAGTAATTTATCTTCTCGTACAAAACAATTTGTACTGATAATAATTTTGTTTTACTAAAAATAATAGCTACCACAAAGTTGATAAAACGAAACAAAATATGCAAAAGGTGACGTATGACGTTCTCAACATGCACATTAAAATATAAAACAATAAGATCATCGTCTTATTTAATTATACGAGACGTGATAAGCTGAATAACTTCAAAATCAAGAATATATGTGGTATATATCTGGACCACACAAGTTTATAGCAGCCAATTAGCGCATTATTGCGCAGTATTACAATATACATTTGTCGCTTCAATCCTAATACCAAACAAAATCCCAAACAAAATAAATCAAATATACAGTGATGAAAATGTTGGTTGTACTAACATCAAAATGAATCCACTTAAAAGTCATAAATAAGGCACAATGTTAGATATAGACGAGTCTTGTTTCTAATCTGGGTTTAACTATTCAGTCATTACTCAGGTTAAAATTAATAATAGTGTATTCGATGTCAATTTAACTATTTCATAGTTTCGAATCGTATTTTATTAAATTATTATTAGGTTCTATACTAATTGGGCCCTAACGATTTTATCAACAGGGCGAGAAGAAGAAAGAAGTTGGCAAAAGCATTAGAGAGACAAGCGAGGAAACTACGAGCCAAGGGCATAGCTGTGGACCTCGAGGCTTTGAAGGCAGAATACCTCGCACAACACAAAAACACCGGACTGTACTCCGATTCCGACGGAGATGGAGAAGAATGCATGATAGACGTCGTAGGAGGAGACTCCTGTCACGATTCAGGTCCTGAAGACTTCTCCCTGTCCGGCCGACTGAGAGCTCCTTCGGGCGCAGACGGCATGAACAACTCAGATAGTTCAACGTCAGACGCCAATTCTGGGAGAAATTTCAGTCCCATACCTGACCCACAACCTTCCTTCTTCAAACAGTTCGCTGCTACGAGTAACTTCGACAAATTTGACTTTGACTCAGGACGAGCCGTCTCTTTAGACCTTAGCGGTGGAGGGACAGCAACGGAACAGGATTTATCCAAAAACGGTGGAACAAGAAAACACAATCCGTTCAGTATAGAGTCCCTTCTCAACACGTGAAAGTGACTTTCAAATAACTTTAGAGGCTCTTTGTTACTACCAGTGAAGTTGTTCGTGAATTAAACTGTGTTGAACATTAAGTTACTTATCAACTAAGTGGTAATTGTCTGTGTGAAGGTCTGTACTGCCTGAAATGTCGACCTACAGACGTTTCAGATTTGTTCCTTTGCTTTAAAGTTAACTGTTATTATCATTAATTATAACTGCTTCAGTAAAGACTTGATAAGTACCATATAACGACATATCTCGTGTGAATATTAGATGTACGTGATTGTATTATATAGATTGTAGTGTATATAGTAATTCTCTATATTTATTTTCTTCGATGTTAATATATTTTCTAACTGTACGGGGCAATAATTTATATTGACTTTGTTGATGATGTGGTATTTTATATTTTTACAATTTTTAAATTTTATCTGTTGTCTTACCAAATGCTCATTGCCGAAAATTGTTATTAGTTACATAGAACCTGTCACTAAATAATTTAAAATGTCAGTCAGAACTTTTAGAAGAACTGATATTTAATTAGACGAACCTCGTTATGAGTCTACAATCAAATAAAATGTCATAAAGTAGCCAAAACAGGTTTTATATTAGATTTACATAATCTCATTCGAACTTTTATAAGTTTTGATTATTTGCGCTCAGAGAATTATAAAATATTAATTATTGCTCTCTCTCTCTCCTTAGCAGCTATTTCAATTAAGCTCAATGAAATATCTGTACTTGTTTTTAGATGTTTGTGATGATACGTGTTTATTTAAATTGAAGACCGGTTCTCTTTATCAAAGCGTCTCTTCCCTTTCTGCAGTTAAGTTACGACATTAGTAATTGTCAAATGAAAAGGAATTTATATCAGAAAAAAACACCTTAATCATCGAGGTAATAATGACTTAATGCCAGTAGTGTTGTCGCCTTTTACAAGAGAATTAACTACAAAGTTTTGTTACGTCCATTAGCCAAAGTGGTGAGCAATCAACTTAATTACAACACTATTACTATCATTTCTTGACTGAGCCACTTTGTCAGTATTAAACGATAAACTCACCCGTAATACAGAACAATGTTTCGAAATAATAAAACTACTATAGTTTCTAGGTAACCTGTGACCACGGCCGGTGCAACCTGGTCGAAACGTCAGGCAAACCAGAGGTATGTAATACCCTAAATAAGAGATCGCGTTAATTCCCGTTAAATAATATTAATTATCATGGAACGCGAAAGTTTAAAAGTTAGAACTTACTACAACTTTCACAATAAACATTTTAATTAACCTTAATAATTTACCTAACTTCTATTCTAATCTACACACTTCAGTGAGTAACGATCTTATTGACTTATTAAACCGCCATAAATATAGTTTGAAATTTTAACAATGGAACCATAAATACTAATTAAAAAATCCATTTGCCAAATAAAAATGGCGTCTCGAATAGAATTACTATTGGCGAAAGAAACACAATATCTCATCGTAAAATAACAACAATTAATGAATGTATAATGCGTAACGACCGATAAGAGAGCCAATTAGTGAAACAATATGGCCGACTTGGTTTATTGCCATTTTTACTTACACCGCAGTGGGCTTAATAGGTATATAACAACGTGCAAGCCGATTGGCCATGCATTTATTGTTTCAATGCATTTGCGAGAAATTATCCTACTTTGATAGTTACGATATACTTCTCTGAAAGTGTTCAAAGTAATATAAGTAATCATTCGTGGCAACACATACGGCAATTAGTTTCAAATAAAAAAATATTACTTAAATGTCGTCAACAATCTTTCAAATATAAAATATGAAAAACTGTAGCCATATTTTAAGATCAAATCCTAATAAATCTGGTTCTTACTAGTTTACAAATGACGTTATATAAAATGATAGTTGCCAGCGCAAATAATAAATTCCAGTTTTGGATAGATTATTAAAAAAACAAGTATAAATATGTATTGTATTCGGTTGGGCTAATGGGGACAGTTTAAATACATATTATTATTGTATGAAAATATTAAATTTTTCTTATCAAGCACATAACAAACACATTTATTCGGTCAATTTAGCAAAAGAAAAACATTGATATAACGTTTATTATTGGCGAAAATGACGATTGATTAAGTTAATTAACATGATGACATGATCATGACATGACATCTATAAAATATATTTATCCTTAAACATTGTTATAGAAACAATAATCTCATACTATAAAATTTACATTATAATTTTACATCAATTGACATTTGACATTTTTATTGCAATTGTGATTTTTATATTATTTCGGCATATATCATAATGAAGTCCTGTGATTAGATACTTCTCAACCTTTTAATGAGTGTTATTTTTCTTTGATCTCTACTTAATTGTACCTATTAAATTCAATGTTGATATAGAAATATGTAAACAATATAATTCAGTAGCACCACTTAATTACGTATTGATTCAATAAAGTTTAATCAAAACTTAAATAATTGGTTTTTACGAATTATCTACACAGTTACACAAACTTGGTTTTTTAATAAAAGTTTGTTATGAAGTCTTTCTTATCAACATTCGGTCCAGTGGTAGGTATTATAATATTTATAATCCTCAATATAATTTTATTTAAAGAAATCGCTTTTGGAGACTAGGCTCAGCCTTACCACGAACCGATTCAAAGAGACAGACAGTGACTTAGTTGCTTATAGATAATGGTGATTGGTGACATCTAATATGCCTATATAACCGACTAGCTGACCCGCGCAACTTCGTCTGCGTCTCTCAATAGTAATAATTTTTCTACGTTTTTGAAACATTCTTCATTGGTGCTCCGCTCCTATTGGTCTTAGCGTGATGATATATAGCCTATAGCCTTCCTCGATAAATGGGCTATCTAACACTGAAAGAATTTTTCAAATCGGACCAGTAGTTCCTGAGATTAGCGCGTTCAAACAAACAAACAAACAAACAAACTCTTCAGCTTTATAATATTTATATAGATTAGAACTAATTCTATAGAACTGATTGCAACATGCGCTGTCCCTCCTTTGATCTAGCTCTCTCTCTCTCTTGTAAGTCGTATGTGTTAGGGAGCACACACACAAATCTGTCAAAATTTAGGAATGTACTAAATTGGCTTTTGTTATTATTATTTAAGTCTACTAAAGAGTCTAGTCTACAAGAGTTGTATTCACCACATTGTATTTACATTTTAAATTTGATTTATAAAAGTAATTTGTAGTTTAAATAAATTGTTAGTAACTGTACATTTTTGTAGGCGGAAACAATATCTTAGGTACAAAATAATTAAATTAAGTTTTAATTTATATTTAAAGACGAGTGAAAGCGAATATTTGTAAATTGTCTATCACACTGTATGTAAGTTGTAAAAAGTATATATGTTATGTGAGTAATTTATTAAATCAAAATATAACACGATTAAACACAAAGACATTTATTTATTTTGTAAACCTGATAATGACGACATGAAATTAGTTTAAGCATGACTAAACTTGGACTAAAGTGAGAAACACCGTGATATCTTTTAATAATTATAAAACTTTTACTAGATATTATTTTTAGTAACTCATTCCAGTATTAAATTAAAGTTATCTCTTCAGTATTTAGTGTAATTGTGAAGAAGACTGTTACAATAGGTGTAGTAAAAGTAAAACGCCTTATTTAAATAATCCTTTGACAAAAAAAATTTGAATACAAAAAGGAAGGAAGGAAGATCAATGACAGAATTTAGTGATTATCAGTCATGCTGTGACTACAGCTCCACCTGAATTGTTTCGTTACTTCTAGTTAATTTAAATATAATATACAGAACACACGTGATTAACATTGAGTGTCATGGCTGACTGTAATAGAACTAATTGAGTTAAAAACAAAAAACTGCAATTAAAAAAATAGTATAAATACCTTCATCATAACTAATCTTTTGGTAAATAATTTAATAACAACAAAAATGCAAAAGTTTTGGACAACATTTAAAAAACTTTTACATGCAGATTGTGACTGAGTATGTGCCTCGAGGATGGATGAATTATGATAGGCATCATAAATCAACCATCCTCGAGTCACATTTAATGCAAATTTACTCCAACCTTTAACACAATAAAATCAAAAACAAAATAAGATACATGTATAACATTAAAACCAACATCTTACAAACAAAACTAGTCTTCATTGTTAAATAGGTGATTGTCATGTCTACAGTCATAATCTTACGTAATATCAAAATAAGAGAATGACTTACAAATTACTTCTCCTTAACCATTAGAACTGTGATTACATTAAACAAGTGTTTAACACAACATTAACAAGGTACTTTAGTGCTCATTTGAAATACAAAGACGCCGCTAGGCTAAGAGCGTTTCAGTTCAACATTACAATGTGCTCAGTCTAACCCATGAATATCGAACAAAAGCATATTTTGTTCCTAGAATAAATGAATCATAATTGCTATTAGGAAATGTCAATAAACTGATATTAAACTGTGCGTCTATGAAGTGTTCCCAAAACATTAACACGTTTTTAGGTGCATCTAAAAACTATATAGGTCTCATATCGTAGCAAACTTGTTCCTGATACGAACAACCTGAATTTGCAATTGTTTAATATTTACAAGTTAGTATTAGGAATAGGGTAGGCAGAGTATTGCTTTTTATCTTCGTTGAATGATGTTTTATATAGTTTTTTAATTATCTTCTGTTATGTGTCACCTGTCTATTAAGTCATAGCATATTCAGCAAAGAACATTTCGAAACTGTTTTACAATCAGTCACCAATCTAAATTTAAATGGAACGGAATGAACGCCATTTTTAAACATAAAGGACAAATGAGCCGACAGGTCCCCTAATGGTAAGTGATAACCGCCGCCTATGGACTCAGGGCTCAGGTGTCTTACCGCCCTTTGAGCGGTTCCCTCCGCAGAACCAGGGAGCGGGGCTTAGCCACTTAACCACTTGCCACAATTATCTCTAGAAATAAGAAAATCTCGTCTTAAACTACGGA